TAACTTTGTGATCTTTTACTTGGTGATCTTAAACTTTTACAACCTTTTTAATAGAAAGTAATTTTAATATATTCTCAAAGAATCTAATTTTTATACATTTTGAAAGAGTAAATTTAGAGTTATTTATGGGCATTTTTATCTCTATTTATTTGAACTGAAAGTAAGGGGCCTATGATCCTTTAGTGAAGGGTTCCATAGGAACCCCAGGCCGGGTAACTTGGACACTCTATCTGCCAGATACTCCAGTGATGTGAGCCTACATCCTCTCAGCTCCCACCAGCGCTCCTACCATTATGTCTTGATAAGGAAAACCACAAGGAAGGAAAGGAGTGCTACACTAGGCTAAAGCGAGCTTGCTGTGAGCTTTGACAGAGTAATGGAGCGAGTACCGCGGGAACACTGGAACAGCCCTTCTGAATACGGAAGCATGCCCTGCCAATACCCGTCAACACCTCTACCCCCCAGAATTATTAGGCCTCTAGTACCATGACTGCCTGCCATGATCACGACAGCAAGAATACTGGGATGGGAAATTATGAAAATCCGATTGTAGTGAATGGAGAAGAGCCACAACAGACCCAACTAAGATGGCTTCCAATTGCCCCAAATCCATTGTATTGTGCGCCATCTCCAGTTCTTTCTTAGCTCAGTGGGTGCAGCACCTCGCGCGAAAGGGGCGGCCCATCCATTATACACTCCATGTGAGGGATCCCTTCGAGTCGAATCCCCGAATGAGTCGATTCCCGATTCCGCTGCCACGAAACACGCCTTACGGAAGTGTTGTTGATAACTAACCACCAGATGTCTCTGTAATATTTAGAACCCCCACCTCTATATACACTTTCTACTCTATGCCAGAAGCCGGATTTTTTCTTAACTCTGCATCCCAAAAGGTACATTTGTACCAAGTTTCAGATTTCTAGCTTCACTAGAACATGCATAAAATTAGCGTCAGTCACTCGCTCACTCAGTCACGATCAGCTATACTCGTATACTAGCGAGTTTGTTTGCAGGCAAAAAATCTCGCTATGGTCGCGCCTTCGACGCTCTTGGATAGTGATTTATTTTTTTATTCTTTGCGAAATGGCAAACACGTTTTTAAAGTACGTCCCCATTGAAACACGTGATATATGGTGACGAAAGTCTTGATTTTTATCAAAATCATTACTTCTATGATTTCTAGTGTGCTTAACTTAACATTTTTTCATGTGTCCCTTTTTGTAAGGGTGGAGAATACATATTCAAATACTTCCCTCCTATAATCTTCGCTAAGGGGACATGTTTCAAAAATAAGTTTTTTCCTGTACTTAGCCATCAAACAGGTACTTCTAAGGGGATTTTACATTTTCTGTCTGTTTCGTTGGATCCAAAAAATTCAGGAAAATGGATTTACAAAAAGTGCCCTGATGGGTTGTAACGGAATTTCTTTTTCTTCTGAAATGTAGACTCAGGGAATTTCATGTCACCCAGTTTCAGTCTTATACGTTTCCCTTTTTGCTGGCGGTAAAAAATGTATTTGGAATAGCGACCCACCCATAAGCTATGCTCTGAGGAGACACTTCAAATGTTGAATTTTTCCTCAAATCAACATCACATCTGGTATGCTTGCGCCAGTTGTTACTTTTCTATTTCTGCCCGATTCGGTAGGATATGAAAATTATTTGAAAACGTTACGTCATCAAGAAATATGAACACCAAAAATGTTTTGGAAATTTGACGTTTGACTTTTCAGCTCAGTGCGTCAGCAGTCACGTTCTTCCCAAGTTTCAGCTTTCCGTGTGTCTCCGTTTGATTGAAGCAAAGATAAATTTTTTTAATATAAGTTCCCCGAAAAGGTGTGCCCCCATGGTATGTATCACTAAATTAGAGTTCTTCCTGAACTTAGCATGCGAATCGCTACTTATGTCAGTCAACCAGCTACTCACGATCGTCTATATATAATAAATATATAATTTCATCTTTACTCAGCTATCCATTAGGTACTTCTTTGCCAAGTTTAAACTTTCTAGCGCCCTCTGCTTTGCTGGATCAGAAAATTCGGGAAAATACGCCTCTTGCAAAATATGTGACTTGAACCGTTTTAACCGAAAAGTACCTTGGTTTTTTTTTTTTTTAAACCGAAATCCATCTTCAGTGACCTACATGCCCACAAAGTTTCAATATTGTATGTTTGCCCTTTTCGCTGGTGAAGAAACATGTTTGGAAAAGCCAACCCACCCAAAAGCTATCCCCTAGGGGATGCACCATGAAAGCTGAATACTCCCTTAACACAATAATGTCATGTCACTTATACGAGTGCCAAGTTTCACTTTTTCATTTCTGTCCAATTCGCCAAGACAACATATTTTTTTAAAACATCGCCCCTCGAAAAAATTATTCCAGGGGATGTATTGAGACTTATTATTTTTCTTTAACTCCTAGTCTCAGTAGTCTTATTGCTTTCTATGTTCATAAGTTTAACTGATGCAAAAAAATTAGTTGAATACATCTCCCATTGAAATTTGTGCTCCCAGGGCATTTACTTCCTAAGTCGGAATTTTTCTGCAGCATCCCAATAGGTAGTTATGTACCTAGTTTCATCTTTCCACACTAGCTCAATACGCCAGGACAAAAAAAAACTTGAAAACCTCAGCCCCAAAAAATATGCCCCTGGCATGGATCTAAAATTTTCATTTTTCCTGAACTCATCATCTCGGTAGGCACGTCCATGCCAGGTTTCAGCTTTCCAAGTCTCTCTGTTTCACTCAAGCAAAAAATCATTATATTGGGAGGGAATGAGGATATGGAAGGCAAAAGAAGCCAAAAAATGGTCGGGAAATGAAGACGTACCTCCTGATTGCCGGTCAGACGTGCTACCACTACACCACCGAAACAGGGACATAGAACCCTCTGCATCCCATCCTAATACGTCACAATATAGATTTAAAAAAAAACTTTTCCCCCCAAAACGTGTACACCCAGGGTAAGTATCTCCAAAGTCGAATTCTTTATGAACTCTGCATCCCAAAATGTACCAAGTTCCAGATTTCTAACCTTTCTAGAACATGGTTAGAATTAGCGTCAGTCAGTCAGTCACGATCGTCTACATACAGTATATTAGTTACAAGGCAGGCTTCTTGTTAACCCTCTCTGTATTGCAGCATCCTTTGGCATCCTACGGCGATTTTCCGTTGCATGCCCACAGACCAGCCCTGCCCTGTTCATCCACTTTTTTTGAGTGCTTGTACTTAAATTCCAATTGCTCCGGATCCCTTGAAGGAAATTTGATAAATCATATGGCGATGGAGAGAGGATTAATAGATCTTTCAATTCCCTTTTCAAACACGAAAAAAGGTTCATTAGTTCAAAAGTTATTGCCGATCAAAATCCGTGCGGTTTTTTTGGGCCACCCTCTATATAGATGCTTGGGCCTCCGTGTGCATATCCGCATGTGCATGTACGCACGTGCGGCGCCTTCATGCCTGCCTCCAGGTGGACGTCTCCCCCTCTTCGGCTTGCAATTTTTTGCCTGGCCGTTGCGACAGTCGGATCTATTTTCGATAACGTAACAGCCCCGAGGGGGGGGGAAGAGTTCAGATGTCATGAAAAAAACGATGGAACGAGCGGAAATCGAAACTAGGACCTACTGCTTGCCGGTCAAGTATGCCATCCATAACACTACCACGAGGGAGAAAGGCATTCTACGCATGACTCCGCCGCCCCCCTTCCGGGTGTTCACACCTCCGATACGAAATTTTTCGCAGGGACGAGTAAAGGTTCCTGCGTATCACACATGGAGCCCTCTTTCATACCTTCAGGAAAGATTACTTTCTCGCCGGGGATGAAATCTCCGTCCATGTATTTCTCGGGATAAGGAAAAGTCGTATCGTAGGCACGAACACACACGGGAGTAGGGGGGGGAGGGGTGGGGGTGCGCAAGACGTACAACGTCCAAGCGGTTGCTACGCAGAGCGTCGAGAGAGCCGTCGTCTAAACTCGTGAATGTCCGACGATGCTACATGCTTAGCCTAGGCCCCTGCGTGAAAATTTATCCATGGGTTAACCTCACATTCGTCGGATAATATATTCGTCGAAATATATCTATATATTAAATATATGAGATGGCGGGAAAACCTACAATTGTAACAACAGACAGAAGAAAGAGAAATGAAGAAACGGAGAATCGGCTGGAATTGAGACGTGAGGCAGAAGCCGAATCAATACATAGATTGTATTATTAATTTAAGCACCTATCGTTGAGAGAAATGAGAGGGCCGCTGACTAAACTCGTGAATTCCCAAAAATGCTACACGTTTAGCCTAGGCCACGAATGTCAAACTTGATTAGCTGGGGGCAGGATGGAAGCCTTCAGGCTGGTTGGATCCATATTATAATGTTTTGTTTTATCAAAGTTTCAATTGCTAACGTGTAGAAATTGTCTATGCTTTTCCTAAACAAACTATTGAAAAAAATTTGCCAGCAGAACGTAATTTACTAACGAGTCAAGCGGTCGTTTGATACCTCCTCTGATACGAGAGACACAGAGCTCAACCATCAAATAAATCCTCGTATAAAGACTCACATTTTAACCTTCAGATATAAAAAAAATCGCCCGCTTCAAGCGTTCCCGCAATATGCTTTTTTCGCTAATCAAAACTCAAAACGAAAAAATGTTTTTTTTTTCTTGGAATGAATATAAGAATGATAATATGATGCTGACATGGTGAAAATCTCGTAATCGTGGTAGGATATCATGATGCAGTTAATATCTGATTGCTTTTAATTTTGGGAGACCCCGTTCAGTCCACCACCCCTATGGCCTGACATGTTTCCTTGGCGAATAAAACAATATGGAAAATGTGTGCACGCTGTTGAGTTTCCGATTTCCATTTTATTATGCAAGTCCATTTCACCAGTTGGAAAAGAATTGGATTCACAAAAATTGCAATGTATAACATTCACTATTCAGGTGTCAGATGGAGGCTTTGGAGATAAATACTTCAAGGCACCCATTTCTTGCATGCCCATGACAATAACGAAAAAGCCAGATTTAAAAAACTAATGGACAAGACCGTATTTGAGTCCATCATACTCAATTGATTCAGTATGAAAATATATTACGACTCAATGAAAGGTGAAGATTACCAACGAATCAATTTTACAGGACGCGTCCTTAAGAATTGAACCATTCCTCCGGAATTCAACATTCCTGTTATTGCTTAAGAATGTTTCTACGAAAAGTGGCCAGCTATGACTAGCAAGATAGCGTAAGTGGGATCATTGCTCATCCACAAGTTTTTATTGCGCTAATTTCGACCGTCCAACTCACATGCCAGGCACATCTTTCGCGGCTTTCACGACCAGTCAAACCAGTAGTCATCGGCGAAAAAATGAGTCTCAACAACGAAGAAGTTGCTTGCTTTTATCGATCAAGTGCGACAATCCCTTCCCTTCGAGCCAGGAGCGACTCTTCTTCACCATCAGTTCCCAATGATCCTTGTATGCAGGCAACTTGAGCTCCATGAAAACCACAGCAAGTGCAGTGGCCAAATCCGCATCCTCGCATTTGTTTTCATCTTTTACCCTCGAGAATTCCCGTTCAGTCAATCCCAATACTGTCAAAAGTTGCTGGTCGAATGGGAATGAGCCATTAAAATGCTGCATCCTGGTCAGAACCATGAGTTTTCCTTCGTCTCTGCTCAAATCGACCTTGCCAGATACTGATTCTTCTCGCAATGCCAAATCCTGATGAGATTCCATACCGCATGAGCGTGAGGTTGTGTCATACAACTGCGTTTCAGTTATTCCCGTTTCCTTACTTTTCGAAACGAAATGGCGGGTTCCGGGCCTGGATGGATTTTCATTCCACTGTGGGAATGAAATTCCCCTGCATGCAAGTCCCTGCATGATCGGGGGAGGGCTACAATATGGGATACGACGGGGGCCCTTGCACATAATTCCTGCATTTCCGCCGTTCCATCCACCGTAACCATGCGGCATCATGTTCGGGACAGTTCTCAGAATGGGGGAATCTTTTTGTAATTCTCCCTTTTCGTCGACGGCAACGAAGGATGTGAAAATTGATGCCAAATTGTATTTGATTCCGAGATAGACGGCAGATTTCTCCTTCTTTGACCGATCATTCGGGTGCACACGACGATCTTGAAGCTCTTCTTCCAACTCGTGAATGATGGACCTTGCTGCCAAACTATGAACGATGTTCCCCTCGACCGCTTCGGCGAGATTCGCCGCAAACGTAGCGGACAAGGGTCCTGCTGGAGTGTCTGCACTCAACTTTATCTCTGCTGGAATGAGATTGGGATTGTTGTAAATGCAATACGCTGCATAGCAACTACCATCGAAAATGCAAGGCAGCTTCTTCACACTCAACCAGGGATCTTCCATTTCTTGGTGAACGTCGGTTGGAGCCTCTGTCTTCTTTGGCACAGGTTTTCCGAATCCAAGGAGTGTTTTTTCAGTGACAACAGCCTCTTGATTTTCGTTCTTCTCTGGCTTTTTGATTGAGTCATGTTGAGCCCAGATTATATTGACAGAGGTAAGTGAGGGCTGAAGGGAATTCTTGAGAAGATGCTGGACTTTTCCACTCAGTCCCTCTTTTAGGGCTGCAAATAGAGCTTCTCCATTCCCAGCAAGTGCAATTCCATTCACAAGATGATGACTCGCGTCACTACCAACACCCAAGGCAAAAACCCTCGTTTTACTCGTATTGCAATTATCCCTCACCAAGGAAACGACTTGCTCTGTGTTGCTCACTTCGCCATCAGTAAGAACGATGATCTGTCGAGTATAGCCATCTAGCTGTACCTGCTGAAAAACCGAGGAGAGGGGCTTCAAGATTTCCGTCCCACCCATGTTTGCCGTCATTTCCATCACATGGGCTGATGCCTTATGGAGGCTACCCTCGTCGTACTTCTGGCTTCCTTCCCACAGCGAGGAAAAGGTGTTACCGAAGCTCACGATGTTAAAATACGAATCCATCGGCAAGGACTTGAGGAATAATTGCAAAGCATCTTTTGCTTTCTCCATCTTTTCTCCCGTCATAGATCCACTACGGTCGATGACAAATATGAAATCACATTTCAATCCTGGGAGTTTGAAACTTGGGACAAGGGTGACCATTGCGGCGACAGTAGAATTGTGACCCTTCTCCAATATTAGCCGAGGCTGATGAGGTGACTCAGTTTCAAGAAGAAGCACGAAATCCCTGTCCATGTCTGTCGAGACTCCTTGGAGTTTCACCTCCGTTTTTAAGTATTTTCTATTTCTCAAAGCCTCATTTTTTAAGAGGATGTTGATTTCATGGGTGGGGCTGTCGATTGACAGAGTTTTCCGTTCCGTCTCGATATGTACGTGGATTTCCATGGGGCAAGGGGAGAAGGTAGAATAATCGATGTCACCGATGATCTTAGCTGCTTCGCTTGTATCACTGGGTGGGATATACCTCGGAGCGATGGTGGTCGGTAGGAAAAATCGTAGGGCGTTTCCTTCTGCCGTTGCCTCTGTCACGTACGACAATTTGATCGTTGCAACGCTGCCAGCCGGGAGATTCCCGATTTTGGCTTGGAACATATCAGGCTTCGTCTCCTCGACGATGAAAGCTGTCTTTCCTTGTTTTACCGACTCTTCGTAGACCTGTCTTGCCTCTTCCTTCTTCCTCACTTCTCCCTGGATCTTCCTCCCCTCAATCTCCGCCTCAAATCCACACACTGCGGCTCGATCATCCACTGGGAATACATATTGAGTCTCTACTGGCCTAGTAGGAGAAAAGTAAATTGAGCTTCATTATTGATATTTTCCCACATCCCAAATATTTTTTTTTTACCAAGCAGGAAGTAATTGCATATTATAACATAATATTACCGCATCAATCAGATATTGCGGTGTAACAGTAAGGTGTGAGATGGTGATATTGTACTATTGTGAAATTGTATATCAAAATATATATCGAAAATGACATCCATTCATCAATGGATCCATTGAATCAGCAGTGTTTTTCTTTCCAAATCGGCCAATGACTGATAACGCCATACCTGCGACCCATACCAGTTGTTGAAGATACATTGATACAGCCCTACTCATAACTGAGATAAATAGCTGAGGAATGTGTCTCACTTGGTTTCCTTGTTCTTATAGGTCTGGGTGAGGGTGACTTTGATGCCTAAGTCCAACCAGGTGACGTCCGCTGACACTTTTGTCAAGGGAATTGGATCCAACTTCGTTCCATCTTCACTCGGAACCACTAAACCGCATTCGCAGTTTTTATACTTTCCGTAAGTATTGGCAAACATTTTTTTCCTGAGTAATACCTGCAATCATGGAAACACATGATGCATTCAGGGGGGGAGAAATGGAAGTGCACTCCTATCGTATTGTATCCTATTATCGCAGAATCCCCTAAATTTAACGGCATCATCGCCACCAGGGACCGTCGAAAAGACGGATCTGTAACGCATGCCCTCGGCCTGTGGATCGCGTGATCGGCGTTCGCAGATGAGAGGACAATCCAAGGCTGTTAATGTCCCACTACTTCAAGGGGTTGTGATGGGAAAAAGAAGGAAAGCTAGGAAAAGGGATTGGAAGCGCATTTAGTATGGAAGTCTGACTGAAACCGTTGCCATATCCACTGTGTATTCAGTCTAATGATGACGTTTCCTATATGAATTCGTACTCTTGGGAGAGGGCAACGATGTCATGAGATAAGGGGTACCCTTGGGAGTCGCATCCTGTGACACTGCGTGATTCTGACTCATTTCACCAAGGAGATTGTTATGAGTCACGGTCACATGCATCGCCACGGGTTGGGTGACGCGACGGTATTTATCCATAGTATACGCAGCGGTTCCTTTCTACTCCTGTGTACGAGTTTCCATGGAAACTATCGATTTCCTGTGATAAGACGAAACTTGACACGTAGGGATAGGACGAAATTCGACTCCTAGTCTACACTCCGCTTCCACCGACGCCAAAACAGCTGAACCGTCTCACTCCTAGAATAAAAGCCGTGAATTTGATAGTTGTTGAACCTGACGACACCGCATCCTCGTCGTATTTCCACCGGTATGGCCAACCGATGGCTGGCAATCCGAGAACAGACCGGCAGACACGACGTGGGCATCCGAAGCAAACCATCAAATTGCATTTTCCAAACCAATCCGTTCGAGGCTGCCGAGGCAAAGGGAATTATTGGAGTCTCCTCGAACACACACACTTGCAATACGTAAACACTTCTCTCTGGTGAGAAGAGACATCAAGAGCGTCCACCTTCACCTTCGAGCACGCACTCGTGCGATCCGGCCCTGGCAAACACCGGCAAATAACTGAGGATCCCCCACGAACCACGTACATGCCTCCGCGCGGGGAGCGAGGAGCGTGAGATGACTGCAGGGGTGCGTGTAGCGAGCGTATTGGCGTCGCCTGCCTCCTCATTCCTCGCTCTCCGTGCTCAGGGTCGACTTCCTATTAATACCGCTGGCGGATTGCGGGAACCGCGTGACCGGGAGAATGATAAGGAATGTTATCGCTATTTCTCTGTGGATTGCGACTCACTCTGAAAATATCTGTCTGAAGCGGGGCATAAGTCGAAATTCCTAGAATGCTTCTTTTTCAAGGTCGAGAAATAATGGAATTCTCAGAAATCCTTTATTTAGGTCGAAGTTGCGTTCGAGAAATTGGCCTTAATTATTAATTCGAGAAATTGGCCTTTATCGATTTTCCCGCACCTGAAAACGGTGACGTCATGATGCATGACGTCACATTCGCAGATGCGGGCGGCTGGCATGCTGGAACCCGTCGACATCATTGCACACGCACGTCCTTCGCCTGTCACGATGTGAAATCGCACCCCAATCTGAAAGCTCATTTCAACTATTGGTAATTCCTGAATTTCGTGACGAGAATTCATCTGCGCTGGTGGCTGCATCAGACAAATCTATGGATTACACTCATAATAATAAGTCTTTTTTTTTATCCCAATGGAAAGCGGAAAAGTTGGTTTTGCAATGAGACGGGGAGAGACATTTACCCGACTCATTTCTAGACCGAGAAGGGGAAGAGACGGCTCATCCCAAAGAACAAATATACAATATGCGAGGGGAATGACGTAACACCTCCGTGTATTGTTTACACTTTGGAGGAAAAGCAGGAGTCTCTCGTTCAGGATTTTCCCCGGTGCGATGGAATAATTCGTGGGAAACTGAAGTCGATGAAACTGCCGCTCTGCAAGATATGGGTATCAGATGAAAATGCGGCCTCGTGGGAGTCACAATTCCTTTATTCTGTCCCTCCTTCCAACATGATAAATTTCTCTTCTCGGTTGTCCTGGATTCCTAAGAACGCTTGCAAAGTGTCTCCCCCCCCCCCTTCCCCTCCCCCCCTTCCGTGTTTTAGAGTTCAGAAACTTTACGTTACGCTACTGGAGTTCAATATACCCTATCTCGTTCGTTTTATGTTTCTAAATGAAAGCAGGTTGTCACGGACCACAGGCATTTAAATCCTCTGTCATTCTTCGCTTCAGGGCACTCTCGGGATCGTTTGGAACCGCGATTGAACATCGCGATCCTCAGCGCACAGAAAATGCAAGTCTTCGGCACAGTCTCCTTTTCATATGCTTCGCGACTCCAGGAATTATTCCATCGTTCGAGTCCGCTCAGATCTTACAGTACTCATAGTACGTCCCAGTTTACGCGTCCCTCAGAGCCCCAAGAAGTTTGTCCATCGGAATCTAATCAGTCGGAATCCGTCTGGTCCTTCTAGAATTTAATGGATCGATTCGCCTGTCTGTGCCAGTCCTTACCTTAAGTCGAGTCTGTGTGTGGTTGACTCGTCGGGGAGAGAAACCCGAGAAACCGAGTTGCACGATCTCATCACTATTTTTTTTTACTATCGCTCTTGGGATACGCAATTGCATTACGAAGTCAGTGCCGATAGACGACCGATTTTTTTTTAGGGGCTCAATAGGTTCACTGGTTTCTTCTCTCTCTATCGATGTGTATTTTCCTCCGGAATTATTTTTTATAACCGGAGTAGCCCCCGGGACACCCTATGGTACATTTCTGGTCGTGGAGTAGAATCTGTTTAGGTGTTTTACTCGTATCGATAATACGAGCCGTTCAAGAACGTGGCTCGTACGAGCCAACAATTCACGAATAAAAGTCCGGACAGCGAGTGAAGAACATTCGTCTCCGTGTTGGGCTGGATGTTCTGGACGCGGAGAGAACATCGACTTGCATGCGTTCCTCGCGTGAGAGCGAATATACGAGATCTGAGGACTTGGAACTCGAGCCGGATAGCAACATGTGGCTATGCGGCTCATCAGGCTCATCAGGCTCATCAGGCATGACCGATGCGCGAGGCGACTCCGGGGAGTCGGCCGGAAGCGTCGCTCGGAATTTTTAATCGCATGCGAATTTCGGGTCGAGTTCTATTTTGAGCTCTGGCGAGTGCACAAAACTGAGCGTTGGAAATGCGACGAGAACGGACTCTTGACGGACCTGAGACGACGAGACGGATGCAGCGAATATTGTATGTTTTCGCGAGTCCATGGCATGGCATATTATCGGCAACTGACACTCGCGCGTTCTATGAACAGGTCGAGACGTTGAGGTTCGGAGGTTCTCATCGACTCGGGCGAGCGCACGTGCCGATGAGCACGTGCCGATGAGCACGTGCCGATGAGCACATCGTCTCAGAAACCCTACCACACGATCGATTGATAATGGTCGTAGCTGGAACGGCTTGTTGGAATTGCACGATCAAGTTTTACATCGTTTTAAAGTGTAAATTATTTCCTTCTCGGTTTCAGGTAGTTTACGAAATCTAGTCTCGGGTTATACATTGCACCATTCAAGAAAAAGGGGAACATCGCGGACGACACGTACGTCCCGCGAAGACGACACAGAAAGGGCTGGAAACGATCTTCATCCTCAATTTCAATCACAGTTCATAGTTAGGTTCATCGAGCAAAATGTTTCGGTCAATCAGTCACCATATCCAGTCACCAACAAAGCAGAGCAGACTTCAGTTTTTTTTTTCAGTTCAGTCCGAGGCATGCTCGATGTGACAACCATGTTGTCACAGCCTCGGTGCTGTCGACAACGGGTTGTCGACAGCACCGAGGCGCACGAGCACGTTATTCGCGAAGCCATTCGGCAGCTCGCGGTCAATCTAGCAGACGGTCAATCCTTGCTTCTTTCAGTTCAGCGTAGCAGTTCGAGACGACGAGAAATCTAATGGGCTGTTCGCCCGTTGGTGCGAGATGACGTCGAGGTAGGAGAGTCGTCCTGACTAATTTTTTTGCACTTCAGGTGTTATTTAATTTAAAGATGGCGACTGATTGACCGTAACGCCCAGAAGTTCGTGTCGCGGTCTGCATGTTCTGGACGAAAACAACTTCTTCGATAAGTAATTTGAACGCAACGTAAAAGTACTCAATGACGAGTCGAGTCGAATCGGTTCGGAAGTTGGATTCCTCGGTCGATCTGGAGATTCTGATGCCGGAAGAACAGCATGACCCTGACCCGAGATGCGTCCGCAGGCGAAAGAAATTCGACTCGCAGGACGTCGTCCAGTCGGCAGGTAGAGGTAGCATTTTGGAAACGATGCTCGCGCTTTCGATCGAAATATTTCCTGAAACCGCAGATGCGTCGGGGATTCACACAAGTATACGTGCCGATACGTTTCATTCCGCGTGATCGCACGCAAACGACGGCCCCGAACCAAACGTTCGCTCTTCGGAACGATGAAAGCTCTGTCCTCGTGGAACCTCCACCGCGCACGCTTATCGCGTGGCGCCACTCGCACCGAGCCCAGAGGGATCCACGGTGGCAGTGCACGCCGCCCCCACCTCCCCCTCCCCCTCCCCCTCCCCTTCCCCCTCCACCTCCCCCTCCACATCCCCCTCCCTTCTTTTCGAGCTGCGATGCAATTCTAAAGAGGGTTTTGTATTCTAGTTTGCTTTTCTAGCTGTGTTCTCTCGCTTGTGGCTGCGAACGCATTGCGAATCCGGTCAAGCACCTCATATCCCTCTATAAGGTGATTCGCCGAGTGAAGATACCCATTCTCTGAATTTCATCATTCGGCGGTCATCGGTAAGGAAAGGTTCGATCAGAGCCGTCTGAAACCAAGGGCCGGCCCTTTGTACGAATGACCTTTAATGACCTTTAATGCCGCAGACGTCGCCTAGATGTCATGAAACCACGGCGTAGAGCTGCTCCGAGCACGGTCTCTTTTCCGCTTTTTTAAATTTCCCTCTCTCAAATTGGATATGACCTTGCAACGAACACGAATGACATTTCATGGGATTATTGGGAACACATCAGCCTATGCATCGTG